CTGGCCTGTGGGGTGGCGAGCCTCGCCGAGGGTCTCAACCCTCTGACCAGGTCATGGGTCCCACAGGTAGTGCCCACGTATGTTTCTCCTTCCCATGTAGCGGGGCTGGAGGTGGCGAGCAAATTGTTCTCAGCACTTGTCAAGGGCTCCCCTGCTGCTGCTTCATGTGATTTCAGGGAAGGAAGACGGGACCCGGGAAGGAGCGGGGACCCGGAGAAGGCAGTGCCACTCTGCCACTGCTGCGTTTGCCTGCTTTTCTGGGCAGCTCCTACTCTTCAAGGGAGACATGAATATAAGAATCAAAGAGCCAAGTATTTTTTTTTTGAGGGAAAAAAAAGAAGAAAAGAAAAAGCCACACCCTTCTGCAGAACCCAGGGCTGCCCAGCTAATACAGAAGTTCCTCCTCTCTGTTACAGAACGAAGTGGAAGGGCAGGAATGTGGGCCGTGCCTGCCCAGTGAGAAAGAAAATTACTCCAACGGTTTCTTTACAATATGTACAGAGCACGCTGTAGGCAGCGCCACAGATACAAAACACACAACAATATTTCAAAACAAACAGGAACAGGTGGGCCCTTGGCTCTACCCTACAGGAGCCCAGGAGGGCATAATCAGGCTGCAATTTAGTCACCCTCTTGGTACGGGTGACTGGGGTGAAGTTGTTCACACCAGCTACTTCCATGGATGACAGGGAAGTCACTGCTCAGAGCACTGCCCGTGGGGGCAGCAGGAGGCAGAGGGAATGATGGGTATGAGGGAAGCTGCCAAGGGTCTAAAACATTGGGTTTGGGGGGAGGGCTCAAAACTCAACTTGAACCAAAACAAGGACAGGGAAACTTAGGGGAAAGGTCTGTAGGTCAGAGGGGCTCCTTGTGGGCACGTGACCCTAAGCCTATCTATGTGTAGGGCTCTAGGGTTCTTGGAAACCAACCTATACTGGGCATTGTGCTTACTGTCCCCTACCTCCCATTTTCCAAACTGAATCAGAGCCAAATTCCTGCTCTTAAATGGTCACTTTTGGCACTCTGGTCACAAACACCCTTCTCCAGTCTAGGCTGGTATCTGTCAGTCTTTATCTCTCCCAGTTCAGAGGGTCAAAGAAAGATAGCTGGGGAGGAGAATAAGAGATGATACCTCAGAAGCAAAGTAAGAGCTAAAGCTCCCCACACCTTGGGGAAGAAATGACTCCAATAAAGCTACCAAATCATCATCACTTTCCCAGTGCAAAGATATGAAGCTTTGACTGGGAGACTGCCTGTCGAAGGAGAGCAGAGAAATGTCTGCTGCCTCAAAGCACAGCTCCCTTGAGTACACTCTGTGCTCTGATGAGTAATGGCTCGGATGTGTTAACCCAGGGTCTGAGGAACAAATAACTTCCCATGGCCAGTGGCCCCCAAAACAAAAATGTGTGTTACAGAGAAACGCAGCTTATATTGGCACACATGGAGGTTACAGATTGAGCTGTATAAAATCATGTAATTACAGACAGAAGAATTGGACTGTATGTATTTGTGGCCCTAAATGAGGAAGATACGCAGATGGCTGAACGGACAGGACATCTCCAAGAACTGCTGGGTGCTCCTGGGGCCTGCCTTCTGGGCCTTGCCCTAAGGTGACCTGGCAGGCTCCCCATGCTCGGGGAATACTACTTTATCTGCCTGAGTCTTAAGAGCCAAGCAGTGAAAAAGAGGTGAGACCAGTGTGGGGAACCCCCTAGGAAAGGCACCAAGGGGTCAGGAGGGAAGAGAAAAGGGCAAGGAGTTGGGGGATAAGAAGCAGCAGGACTTAGTGGGATGCAGGTTCTACTTCACAGACTCCATTCATGCTCCAGCTCCAGCTGCCTCCCGGCGTCCCTGGGAGCCCTGTGCTGGTGCTGGAACCCCTGCCCTCTGCCTGACAGGCAGCACAAGGCCATGGTGGGGCAAATGCCTTGGTCTTCCCTTGCAGGCTAGGCTCTGAGCGTTTATATGTGCTCATGTAAAAGGGGAGAAGTCTCCACGTTTGAAGACCTTGTTTTCACACTTACGTAGAAAACGGCCCCCGATTTCTTTCCTGAGATTCTAATTCCTCACGTGCTGCCAGTTCCCAGGGTGCAAACCACTGGGGAGACGCAGAGTCTGGTGACGGTGTAATGATGGTGAGAGGGGCATGGCTGCTGTGCTGTCTTCAGACCTTACCCAGTATGTGGGGGGCCCTCCCTGGGGGTTGGGTTGGTACTGCTCCAGCAGCAGACCAGGGGCTTGGGGAACAGAGCGGTGACTTCTCTGGGCTGAGGCCATGTTCCCCTAGTTTCTCCCCGTGCCTTCATCTCCACAGAGGCCACAACAGTCATGACTGTGGCCAAGAGAATAAATATTTTTGCTAAGTACCAGCTCTCCAGCTCCTGCGGAAGAGGGAGGGTCAGGGAGTCCAGAGGTCTGGCGGAGGCGCGATAGCCGAGGGTCTGCCTTCGGTTGTGGTGGGAACGGCAAACAGGATGGTCAACACCATTTAACTGATGTCTAAATGGCACCTCCAGCACCTCCTTGGGCGAGCCAGTCTGGGCCCGTGAAGCTGACTTTATCCGGGCACTTGGTATTCTGCAAGGGAAACACGGACAGATAACCAGGCACTCAGCCTGCTGGTCAAACAACCACAAGGTGGTGCTCCAAGAACAGGAACTGCAGGGCAGGCTAGTACTGGTCCCTAAGGGGACATCTGTGTTCTACAGGTCCCCTCAGATGCACATGGCTTCACAGGAGACTCTGTACAAGAGGCTTGGCCAGGGTTCCACCGTTTCCAGCCCACTAACCCCACATAGCTATTCCTCGCCTAGGCTCCACGGGGGTTCTGTGATCCAGGTAGCAACTCTCCCTGCTGTATGTGTGGCCCCAGATTAACAGAAGTTACTTACCATTCTCACCTCCTGGGGGGTGGGTAGAGGGAAGGAGGTGCGCCTTGCTGGCTGGCAACAATGGCTGTGGAAGAGAGCCCTGAGAGAGCAGGAGAACGAGTTAGTGTGGCACTCACATCCACCAGCTGGCTGGGGACGGAGAAGCGCTTCCCCCTAAATTCCTAGTTTCACTGAGTTTTGAGGTGCTGATGGAAAACAATCTGATATTCAGCCAGATTTACTGCTTGGGGATGGACAGGAAGGCTCTATTTTTCAGCTGCTTGTTTCTCTTTGGCTGTGGGGAACACCTGTTCCTTATTCTTCTGAATATCAAAGCCAATATTCTGGAGGAGTTTGAGAGTCCCCAAGCTCCAAAGGAAGAAATAAATGTCATATGCTTTAATGACTGTCTGCAGGAGGCTAGGACTCTGAACAGATTACAAGATTAAAAAAGACAAAAAGGATTCTCGTGGAGCAAGGAGGGAGGGCCCTCGCTATGGGCATTACCACTGGGATGGAGACAGAAAGGAATGGGTGGTGGGCAAACAGGCTTACCTGCTGCGTAGGGTAAGTTGTACTGTGCCGGGAGCAATGAGTACCCCAAGTGGTGGTGGTGGTGGTGTGTAGACATCAGGCGCTGGGAAGGGGAGGTGCGGGGCCGGTCGACACTCCGTTCACCCCCTCCTGCTCCCCCAACGCTGCTACAGCTGCCACCACCCCCAACCACCCCACAGCCTCCCCGATCTCTCTCCTGAGAAGTTTTATCACTTATCTGGAAAGGAAAGCAGACACACAAAAGCACTATAGTGAGACACACACACACACACACACACACACGAAAGTGAAATGCTCAAGGTCCCACATTATGACTTCCTAAAAATGCGGGATACCTAACAATCAAGGAGATGCCCTGGTGAGGCTAATGTCAAATCAGCCAAGCTGTACTGTGGTCCAGACCTGACCTTGCCCACCTTCTCCCAGACCCTGGATCTGGCCTTATTGGTCTTTGGATAACATCAATGAACTTCCCTTACCGTGGGAGACTTGCTCTTGTAGTGACTGGCGTGCTGCTGCAAGATGTCCAAGGCTTTGGACTCTGAGCTGGATTTACAACTGACACTGGGGCTGGCTCGTGCCTTGTCAGCATCCTCACCACCCGAGACCTTGCTGCCATATGGGGAGAAAGAGTAGCTGGAAGGCAAGTAGGAACCTGGGGAAGGAGAAATCAAGCACTTAGACGGGAGGGGTAGAGAAAGCTCTGCTGCAGTGAGCTTGGTTAGGTGGCATCAGCTTTCCTAGGCACAGGCTGAGATATTTTCCACCATGGTGTCTTTGGGCTGAGACTGTTGGCTTGTCCTTTCTTTACTGAGCTCTACAGGAAAAATTAGCTAAGGGATATTAGGAACATGCCCCTGTTTCCTGTAGTCAATTTTCCAGATCCGCTGTGGTTTTTTGAACTAGTCTCAGAGATTCATCTTGGAGAGGTGACATGATAAAGTGGAAAGATCATGGGATTTGGAGTCAGACAGCCTTGGGCTCAAACGCCACCTTACTAGCTGAGTAACCTTGAACAAATCAACAACCTTTTTGAGCTTCAGTTTCTTCATCATCGAATGAAGATATTTGGTATGGGGTATGATGGGGATGGGGAAGATTTAAAAAGGTAATGTGCATAAATCACACAGGACAGTGCCTGGCCCAGAGCACTCAATAAATGGAACTATGATTTTTATATATATGGGTGTGGGTGACAGTGAGAAAGAACACCCTGAGGGCAAGATAATTTCCTATCTCTGTTTGAAAAGCTTACTTGTCCTATTTAGAGACTAGTTCCCTCCATATAATAATGTCACCAGAATGTCAAGACTATTTAGGCTGCTGTAGGAAGTTGAGAGCTCTAAGGAATGAGTTAAAGAATTGCCCCTCCACTCCAGAAGCATCCCACGTGGCTCTTCGGACAACAGAAATCAGTGAGCAGAGTTGAATAAGAGCATTTGACTCTAACAAGTTTAAAAATATTTAAACTCCTACTTTGTGCCTCCCCTCCACAAATAACTCATCAACAGCAGTATAAAGAGCTTAAATTCCCAAGCTGAACCTAGCTAGACTTCTCCCCAATCTGCATTCAAATTGCTCTTCCCACTTGATAGCCGAGCATGATCTTGCAACTGAATATACGCACTGTTCTGGTTTGAATTTTATTTGTTCCACGTGTCTCTCTTGTTACAATTAAGTTATAAGCTCCTTGAGTGGAGGGAACTAGTCTTCTCTATTTTTTTTTTTCCATTAAGTTATTTTAAAAAATTTACTTATTTGTTTTTGAGACAGAGTCACACTCTCTCACCCAGGCCGGAGTGCAGTGGTGTTAATCATAGCTCACTGCAGCCTCGAACTCCTGGGTTCAAGTGATCCTACCAGAATGCTGGGATTACAGGTGTGAGCCACCACACTCAGTTAATTTTTTATAAATTTTATAAATTTTTTGTAGAGACAGACCATCTTGTTGCCCAAGATGGTCTGAAACTTCTGGCCCCAAGTGATCCTCCCAAGTAGGTGGGATTACAGGTGTGAGCTGCCATGCCCAGCTCTTTACTTTTTTTGTACTCTCCACAGTGCCTAGCACATTGCAAAAT